CAGTACTTTTAATATTCTCCTCCAACACTATAACTCAGAATCATCAATTTTTTTATGGTCTTCTTTATTCATTATCTAACTACCTTTCACATGCATAAAAAAGAGGGTTTGCCCTGAGGGGACCTGACCACTACTTGCCTTTATGGCTCCCAGGAAAACAATTTGCTTGTTCTTGTCAGGCTATGGTTACTGTTTTTGATTTTTCCTGCTGGTCTTTCTTTCAAGAAGTACCTTCTGTTCTAGCCGCTCAGGATGGTCTGCTTGTCCTTTCAAGTAGAAACTTCCCTCCTTGGAAGATTCTGGATGGAGATCAGGTAGAATCATTGGCCTAATTATTGGTAGATCATATTCTACATCTTGAAATGGTTGAACACCAACCATTTCTTTTTGTTGCAGTGACTGTGTACCTTTCATCTTTTAATGCTTACTGCATCTTCAGTATTTTGACTACCTAATCCTTCAGTATTGCAACTTGAGGCTTGAATTTTTTCTTCAGTTCCCTCAGCTTGATAAATGCTGAGCGTGTGCTTCCTTTTTAGTTTTCTAACTCCATATCTTTGCACATTAATGAAATGTTTTATAATATTTGACTTTGTCTTCTTTAGTCACCCTTTAAAATCTTCTACTCAGTTCTGTGAAAAAACATATATGCTTTAGCATATCTGCCCAGGAGAGTAAGGTTCAGAGGCTCACTGACATCCGTTTTGGTCTTTCTTTCTTCCTTATCTTCTTAATGACCTTTTGCTTTCTTCCTGTATGATGTTTGTGATGCTATCACACAGCTCATGTCTAATGCATCAAACCTGTTCTTGAGAAGATATCTAAACTCAGGTGGTATATGTTTAAGGTCATATTTTGGCTCTTGTGGACTTGTTTTAATTTTCTTTAACTTCAGCCTGAACCTTGCATACGAACAATTTATGGTCTGTTCCACAGTCTGCCCCTGACCTAGTTTTGATTAATGATATGAAGCTTTTCCATCATCTCTTTCCACAGATGTAGTCAATTTAATTTTTGCGTATTCCATCTGGTGAGGTCCATGTGTATAGTTAGTTGTCTTTTATGTTGTTTAAAAAAGTTATTTGCAATGAACAAGTTATTGGTTTTAGAAAATTCTACATGTAATCTCCAGCATTATTTGTATTACCAAGGCCGTACTTTCCAATGATTGATTATCTCTGTTTATTTTCAATCTTTGTAGTCCAGTTGTCAATAATTATCAATACATCTTGATTGCGTGTTATTTGATCAATTTCAGACTAAAGAAGGTGATAGAATTCTTCATTTTCATCATCATTGGCTTTAATGGTTGGTACATAAATTTGAATAATAGTGGTATTAACTGGCTTTCCTTGTAGACTTATGGATCTTATCCTATCAGATAACGTTGCACTTCAAGATTTCGAAATGTTCATTTTGATGATGAATGTGATACCATCCCTCTTCAATTTCTCATTTCCTGCATAGTAAACCATGTGTGGTTGTCAGATTCAAAATGGCTACTACCAGTCCATGTCAGCTCACTAGCATCTAGGATATCGACGTTTATGCATTCCATTTCATTTTTGACAACTTCCAATTTTCCTAGATTCATACGTCTTACATGACATGTTCCAATCATTAATGGTTGCAGCTATTTCTCCTCATTTTGAGTTGTGCCTCATCAGCAAGTAAAAGGCCCCAAAGCTTTACTCCATTCAAGTCATCATGGTAAACTCTCCTTTGAGGAGGCAGCTCTCCCCCAATTGTATTTTGAGTGCCTTTCAACCTGATGGGCTCATCGTCCAGCACTGTATCTGACATCATTCTTACGCTCTTCATCATGTTTCAGTATTCCGTATTCTTTTGCTGATGGTTTTATACTGCTATTCATATGGTTTTCAGTGACTAAATATTCGGAAGTAGTCCGTGCTTCCTTCTTCCTAGTCTGTAAGCTCATTTGACACCTGTCCACTATGGTGGTTATGTACTGTGGAGTTGGTTCCGACTCATGCTGATGTTTAATATACAGTGGCATAGCTTCCAGAATCTTGGCAATACGCCAGTCACCACAGTGTGGCAAACTGACAGACGACTGGTAGAAAGCAGATTGTTGTTGTTAAGTGCCTTTGAGTTGGTTCCAACCCATAGCGACCCTGTATAGGGTTTCCAAGGAGCAGCTGATGAGCTTGAACCGCCAACCTTGCAGTTCAAACAGCTTTGCAGTCTGGCGCATTAACCCACAGTGCCACACCAGGACTCCAGAAAGCAGATGTTGCTGTTGTTAAGTGCCATTGAGTCAATTCTGACCCATAGCGATCCTGTATAGGGTTTCCAAGGAGCAGCGGGTGAGCTTGAACCACTAATCTTGCAGTTAAATAACTTTGCAGTGTGATGCATTTAACCCACAGCACCATACCAGGACTCCAGAAAGCAGATATTGCTGTTGTTAAGTGCCGTTGAGTTGATTGTGACTCATAGCGACCCTTTATAGGGTTTCCAACAAGCAGCTGGTGAGCTTGAACCACCGACCTTGCAGTTCAAATGACTGCAGTCTAAGCATTAGGCCACAGTGCCACACTGGGACTCAGATGGAAGGGTTAAAATTCAAGGAATGGAAAGAGAAGGAGAAGAAAGGCTAAAAACAATAAAACAATGAAAGGAAAAAAACCAAAGAAACCACTGCAGCTTTTGGACCTGGAGAAGAGCCAATGTTGGGAGACTCTTGCAGCTAAGGAGTTCACAGGGTGGGTGAGAGATTTTACAGCAGAGTTCCTGGCCGTAGATGGAGTTTCTGTTGGCCTAGGTGTCTTTGTTGAGGGCACTCATTGTGGAAGAAGTTCATGGAGGTCCTTCATGGAGCTAGTTTCAGTGTCTGTTAGGACCCCAGGACAGCTTGGGGTAACTGGCTGGTTATGAGGGTTTCTGGTAATGCTGGTCTGGAGTCCTGGTATGACACCTTAGGATGAGCACCCGAACTCAAAGTCATTTTGAACTACAGGCTTGGCATTTCAAATTTACCAGCTGCTCCTTGGAAAACCCTATACAAGGTTGCTATGAGTCAGAACCAACCTGACAGCACTTAACAACAACAACAAAAATGCAGGTTTGTGGCTCTGTGACTCTGTTGGTCTGGAGCCAAGCCCACCTGAATCTAGGCAGCAAAGCATCGTAGCCAGCCCCACCTCACACTGGCCTGGCTCACAACCACATGGCTCCTACCTCTTGGAGAGCAGGATCTGCACTGCGTGGGATCTGGCCATGTCTCTGGTCATCAGGAAAGCGTTGGAAAAAGAAGTAATTGCACCTTTCCTGTTGACTGTGTGAATTGGCTCTGCCAAGTCACATTCTGTTGCCACTACTGCTCACAGTGGTTCAAGATAGTTGCACTGCTTATGACTAGCCATTCACCTGTCTCCCTGCTTAGCTTCTCCTCCCAGCAACTACTCAGTTCACTTCTTTAACCTTTCCTCTGAAGTGAACTTCAGGTTCTAGGATTTTCATATTTGTTTGTTTGGTCTCTCGTATCGCTGTTAATTGAGAATCCATGTGGTGTGTCTACCTAGTCTGCCATCTTATTGGAAGTCCAAGCAAAATATGATGAGCTGATTTATATGCCCATTCTTTTCTTACTATTCCCTGACCATAGAGAGGAGAAAGTGAGGAGGGATGTACATGAGAATTTTCATGTCCCTAAGTAAATGCAGATGTGATGTAGTTTAGTAATGTTAGCTATTTTCGGTGAAGGAGTCTCTGGGTAGGGCAGAAGAGATAGTGCCTTCATATACTAAAAGAAAAACTAGACCTTCAAGTCCTCCCAGAGACATCTGGGGGAAAAGGCCTGTGGAAAACCCTGTGGAGTAAAATTCTGTTCTGACACATATTAGTCAGATGTTGCTGTGAGTTGGATGTCAGCCAGCTAGTCAGTGTGAAATGAATCCCGCCGGGCTGGGTGCACTGGGACTGCACTTTGTGTATTAAACATGGTGTGAGGATGTATTGGTGATAAAGAGAGAACCCTAGTTTCCCATTCTGTCCCTAGTTTTGGTTGCCAGAAAATGCTTTCTGTAAACACATATTTGGAAGAACATTATTCCTTGGTGCCCATGGCCTGAATAGCCCAGGTTTCCTCCTCTGATCTAGGCCGTGGCTCATCCCTGTCTGGAGGTGGACAGGACCTTTAGCTAATCTTAGGTCAAAGGCCTTGTGGTTATTAACTTTCTGGCATTTCTTCTTGGTTTCAGTCCATTTGCAGAGAGGCCTCCTCTTTATGTGGTCACGGTGCCACCTGCTCCCCTTATTTCATGACTTTATTTAGCTCCTTAGTGCTTGTCCTGAATGCCTTATGATTGCTACCTTAGTGTCGATCTTTGGCTGCAACTGTCTCTAGTTTTAGCCTGTTATTTTTTCTCAAAGAAATGAGCTCAGTAGCTTCGTTGTCACCTCTATAAAGGACAAAACAAAACAAAAAATCCAGGCCCACTGCTGTTGATTCCAGACAACTCAGTTAAGAGAGTGCCTACTAGTAGGCATTCTCACTGACATTTGTTGTTGTTAAGTACTATCGAGTCAGTTCCGACTCATAGCGACCCTCTGTACGGTTTCTGAGGCGTAGATGGTGAGTTTGAACCGCCACCCTAATGGTTCAAACCAACCTGGAGGTCGAGTTACTTACCAAGGATTCTGGCATTACAGTTACGTAAATTCATAGGCAATCAGCTATGTGAGAAATTTCCAATTCATGTTTACATATTTGAATTCTTCAGGGCTTGTGGGGGCTTTCTTGTAGCCCTGGAGTTGAACCTCGGCTCAAAGATTGTGTAAGAGACAATTCTGTCCTCAGCATTTGCAGTGCCTCAGGGAAACACCCAGAAGCAAGCCTGGCAATTGCCAGTCTGAAGCACATAGGACCAGTAGTTGTGTGTCTGGCTTCTGCCCATTGTTTGGATATATGTTTGGACTCAAGCCAGAATATCAGCAAAAGCCAGACCCAGATTTCTTCCTTGTTTTCTGCCTTCCAGGCTAGCCTGAAAGCTGACTCTGTAAACAAACCCTTTGCACAGCGCTGCCAAGACTTGGTTAAAGTCATCGAGGATTTCCCAGCCAAGGTACTGTCTGTGAGCATCTCTTTTGAGGCCTGTTTCATTACTCTCCATAATTCCTTCCTCTGACACTCACTGTCCGCCACAGTGACCTATCCTGGTCTTATGATTGTCATGTTTATAGACATATTTACACAGGTAGACTAGGAGTTCTACTGTGGCTCTCCCTGCCCCTCAGGGTCACTTAGCAACATCTGGGCACCTTTTTGGTTGTCACAGTTGGGGAGCAGGGTGCTGCTGGTATCTACTGGGTAGAGGCCAGGAATGCTGTTCAACATCACAATGAACATCTCCCTTACAACAAATAATTACTCATCTCAAAATGTCAGTTTGTGCTAAGGTTAAGAAACACCAATATAGGTCCTAAAATTAGCAATTTAAATCATATTCAGAATTGTCTAATAGTAAGCCCCACTAATCCTGGACTGTGTCAGTAAGTCATAGTTCTGTCTCAGGAGTTCATGCTGACCAGCATTCCTCCGACCAGAACTCTGTGGCATTTTAACACCACTGTTTTCTCCATGGGCTGATTTATTGATAGAAAGTAGCATTGCTACCTTGTGTGCCCTGGAACCACAGGGGAAAATGTCCAGTGCCACTTTTCTGTTGACACCGTACACTGGGAGCTACTGTGGTTCCGGCCATGATCTGTGAGTGTCTAAATGGAAAGTGACACCCTCAGAACAAATGTAGGGTAGATGGGCAGCCCAGTTGCAGTACTGGAGTCAGGAGAGTGATCCCGTGTGACACCCCAAGCACTGGCCCCGTGCCCCTTCCCCCAGCCTCACTGATGCCCTATTCCAGGAGCTGCGAGCCATTTTCCCATGGTTGGTGGAGCACATATTTGGTAGTCTGGATGGTGTGTTCTTTGGCTGGAATCTCCGCTGCCTGCAGGGGCGTGCGAACCCCGTGGAATACAGCATTGCAATGGAATTTCTAGACCCTGGGTAGGTAGGTCTGCTTGAAAGGTTCTGGGTTTTCCTTGTTTCCAAATCATTGTTCCTTAAAGAATCTAAACCAGATGGTTAGCCACCTATCTGTGTTTCAGTGGTCCAATGATGAAGTTGGTTTATAAACTGCAAGCTGAAGACTATAAGTTTGACTTCCCAATCTCCTACCTTCCAGTAAGTGTGTGTGCTCTGCTGGGTCTGGTGGGGATGGGAAATGGGGTAGGAGGGCACCACCAGTTAGAACTCAAACCATTACCTGGATTGTTTTATAAAGTTAATTCCAAACTGGAATGGGCCGGCTGCTGTGCTCTTCTGAGTCTTCTACCTTGTGTTGGCAACCAGGGGAGGGGTGACCTGCTCAGTGGATGTGAGAAGCAAAGCTGACAGGGCTGCTCATGTGCCTGGCTGAACTCAGAGTGAGTGTTGCTGGTTGCACATGTTTGCTAGGGTGATGGAACTCTTTGGGCTAGCCCTTTCCGATGGAACTCTTTGGGCTAGCCCTTTCCTTACATGTCACCCAGAGGCAAGCAAGGCATAGCAGGTTCTGCGGGTCTCCTCTGCACTGACCAAAGAGCTGTGCTGTATGTGTGTCTGTGTGCTGGGGTAGGTATATTCCTGGCTCCTGCTCAGGAGCCTCTCCCCCTCTTCAGGGCCCCGTGAAGGCGTCCATCCAGGAACGAGTCCTCCCTGAGAGCCCTCTATATCACAACAAGGTCCACTTCCTCCCTGGTGGGGGACTCGGCCTCAACCTAGCCCTCAGTATCCTTTGTGTCCTACAGGTGGTAGGCAATGGGGGTCCAGAACTCAGTGGGGTGGGGAGCATCCAGAGCACCCTAGGGGTGGGGGATCTAAAGCTCAGTGGGGGTGTCCACCTCTGTGCAGTTTCCCCTTGATGCTGCTCTCAGACCCCTTTGAGTATTACACGTTCTTCTTCGCCTTGAGTCTCATCACACAGAAGGTACAAGGGGCCCGCTGGGCAGAACACTTAACCACAGCCTTCTGGGGTGGACTTAAGTTTCTGAGGAGAGCAGAGGGGGCTTGCTGCCACCCATTTCCAGCTCTGCTTTCTCTCTGGCTCCCTGCTTTGTTTCTCCAGCTCACTCTTCTTTAACCCTAGTGAGGACCACAGATCTGTGGGTGGAGCTGGGGTAGGGGGCACACAGCACTGGTGCTTTCCCATCTTCCTTTCCTCTGTTTCCTCTTCTCCCTTTCTCTCTTTTTCTCTCTCTCACTTCTATCCAAACTCCATGCTGTCCCCACCCTGAACTCTTTTTTCCTACCCTGAACTCTTACTGAGTGTTTACTATCTGGTAGAGAAGATAGTTGTTTGGGACTGAAAGAAAAACTATGAGACAAAGCCCTCCAGGGGCCTTGAGTCAGGGGAGTATCTCTAATTAGCTTGTCCCTGGGGGTCCGTGGCCCTATCCCAGAACTGCAGTGTCTCTCTGCAATGCTGCACAGTGGCCAGGGAAGCTCCCAGTGTTGCAGGCTCTTGACAGATTTGCCCTTCTAGCCACTGCTCCCATCCCTCCATGTCCGGACTTCAGACTGTGCCTACTTCCTCCTGGTGGACCGCTACCTGTCCTGGTTCCTGCCCACAGAAGGCAGTGTTCTCCCCACGCTCTTCTCCAGTCCCGGGGGCTCCAACCCCTCACCCGCTCCCAGGTATGGCTATCAACCACCCTGGCCATTGGCTAGCTGCTGGAGGTGGTCTAGAAATGGGGCCCATCTCACAGAGAGTCCTGACCCTTCCCACATAGAGTTAACCTGTCAGGTTACATTGCCTACATGCTTCAGTCAGGGCTTCCAGCTTTTCTTGTGCTTATGGGATGTGCCAGTGGTCTGGCATCAGCAAGCCCTTGGGTCACTCTGGGACACAAGCTGCCTTGTGCTCTGCCTCAGCAGCTCCTCGCCCCTGTGAGGCTGTCAGGGGAGTTGAGGAAGGACCTGGAGGTGTTTGTTTTGAGAAAAGGGAGCCAGACCTCAGAAGGATTGTTCTTGAAGGGTGTTCTGTCCTGGGTGCTGAGTCTCTGCTGGCCCATATAGGTGTGCCTGAAGTCCTGGATTGACAGGAGGGTCATATGTAGTCCACCTCAGCTTGAGGAGGGCACATGGACCTCTCATGCCTTGCCACACTGTCCCCAGAAGTAGTGGCCAGCTACTGTCCCCAAAAGGCTATCTTATCCAGACTGTTTATTGCTCCCTCTACACCTCTGATATGCCCACGCCAGTCCATCTAGTTCTGGTCTCAGTCATGGAGGCTGGTGTTCACTAGTCTATTGGACTCAAATTGTTTTCATGCATCTTTGACTTTCTTCACTTTTCTTTCTTTTGGATAGGGAAACACCAATAGTTGGCTGCTCATGAGATTTTAAGACCTCACTCATGACTCACCATAGTAGGGTATAGAATACTGTCTGTATGGACTCTTTGTTATGTCAATTAACCATGGTCATGGTCCTGAGTCCCCAGGCCCAGTGACTCCCTCAGGGTATTTGGTTATGGCCAAGAAGGTTTCGTAACATCTGTTCTTCATGCCTCATCTTTCCAGGACACCAACCATGCCCTTCGCATCTTATGGTCTCCATCACACCAGTCTTCTGAAGCGCCATATATCTCACCAGACATCTGTGAACGCAGACCCTGCTTCCCATGAGATCTGGCGGTCAGAAACCCTGCTTCAGGTAAGCTGTACTTGCTTCTACGTCAAGACAGTTCCATCACCTGCCTTGTGCTCTGGAGTTGAGAGGCAGAGAAAAACAGTAGTGTCCTTTGGAGAGCCGCCACCTTGGGGTAGCTCCAAGTTATATTTCCTACTGTGAATCTTAGGAAGCTTGAGAGGAAACATACCCACTTTTCCTACCTATATGTTGTTGGCATTGTTTTCTATTTCATCTTTACAGTTCACAATTGTTTTTGCCTTTGATTATCCCCTTCTCACAAAGATGTCACAGTTGTATAGACTTTTTCGGGTTGTATTGACCCGTGACAAGGAGAGATTACAGCACTGAACCTGATGCCAAGGCTTTTTCTGCAGGTGTTTGTTGAGATGTGGCTCCACCACTACTCGCTGGAGATGTACCAGCAGATGCAGTCTCCTCATGCCAAGGTAGGTCTGCTGGGGCCAGGATGCATCTGGCCAGCCTGCTCCTTCTTGTCCTCGAGCAGAGTTAGATCTGCAGGGCCAGATGGCGGCAGCTGAGTCCCCACCATTTCTCCTCATGCTGGGGTGGGTCTGAACTCCTGGGGCTGAGCCATGGTGGCCAGCAGGAAAGCTCTTGTTCTGGGTAGGATGTCTGTGCCTGCCCCTCACCAGTCACAGTAACTCCTTTCCACCTACCAGGTGACTGATACGGGCCTCCTCAGCTTTCCCACACTGCCCCTCTCCTCCAGAACACCAGCAAGGAGCTGTCTGGGCATTTGAGCCCGTACCCTCCTGCATATGACCTGTCCCTCCCTCCCGCCCTGCCCTATCTGTTCCCCCTCCTTCCCTTACAGCACATTCATGACCAAGGTGTGGCACTGACATAGTGCTTGGAGTTTAGGGCTGGCTCGATCCCAGCATCTTCATTGGACTTGGCAGGTTATTGTTGGTTCAGTCTTTCATTCTGTTAGGGTGACACTTAAGTCTCATTTCCCAAAGCAGCTCATGCTACACATCAATCTCAGTGTTTTCCATGAGTGACAGAAATCTTGAGGGCTTTTTCAAGAGTTAAGAATTCACAGGCATAGGGTTAAAACAAGGATAGCTTTGTAGCACAGTTGGCTAAGTGTTGGTGTTCACTTAAAGGTTAGCAGTTTGAACCCACCAGCCTCTCCATAGGAGAAGGATGTGGTAGTCTACCACTGTAAGATTTGCAGCCTTGGAAATCTAACGAGTAGCTCTACTGTGTTTTACAGAGTTGCTGTGAGTCAGAATTGACTCAACGGCAGTGGATTTGGTATGGTAGTTAAAATTGAAAATGATGTCTTCTAATTTGACTCAGATCTCAGGCAACCTCTTGCCTCCATCCTGCCACCAGTGCTGTCCTCTGGGAGTGTGGGGAGAAGTGCACAGGGGACCCCAGGTCTCTGTTGTAGGCTGCACTCGGGAAGAAGCAGAAGATGGTTGAAAACTCTTCTTGGGCCTCTCAAGTTGCAGGGCACTTCCTTTTTCCTATGTCCGCAGGAGGCCAGTGTGTGGTGGTGGTGACTGTGGCTGACTGCAGAGGTCCTCTGGGCTCTGACTTCCCGAGTGCTTGCTTGCCCGGGACTTGGGTCTGGTCGGCTATGTGCTGAGTTAGCTTCAGTCTGCTTGTTGTCTTTTAAGCAAGGAGAAGTAAGACCCCCTCCGAGTTGCCTGTAGTCCTGCCTTTGTCTATTGGGAAGATGATTTTTGAGGGGGTGTTACCCATGTTACTTCCTGCAGGGTGTGCAGATCCATAGGCTGTTCTGGTGCTGCCAGGAAGAGAAGCTCCTCCCTTTGCCATCTCCCGAGAGAGTTGAGGGAGCCAGTCAAAGAGGGCAGAGGCCCACTGCAACAGCACTGGGCTGTGGGTGCAGGAATACAGTCCCGTGTCTCCCCTTCAGTCCTGCTTGGTGAGGGAGGGGGTGCTGTCTACTCCATTCTTCACTGAAATCTGGAGCTGGCTGTGCCATGCCATGCCACCTCAAGGTGCTCCTTCCTGCTCTGCTCTTCACCAGCTGGCTGGCTCCAGAATGCTGCCTCTCCTTTTTGGGACCAGGTGGGGTTATGCTGTTTGGACAAGGGGCTTGGCCTTAGGTCAGTACAGGCGGTGGGCTAGCTGTGGGCTATGTCTGCCTTTGGAAGGCCTCAATGGGACCAAATCATGCACATTTGACATGGTGGCTGCCGCCCAAAGTCCAGGGCAGGTCCAGCAGCTGTCAACCCCCTGCTGGGTCTAGGTTCTCTAGGCTTCCACCAGTGGACAAGAAAAGACTATGTGCAGTGGAGCAGGGGTGATCTGAGGTGTCTTTAGATAGAATGGTGCTCTCTACTGTGGCGGGTGGTGGTGCTGTTCTAATGGTCTCTCTTGAGCTTGCTGTGCGGAGTCTGTGCTGACCTGAACTGTCTTCTGGAACCAGCTCCATCCCCTGGTTCCAGAGAAATGGGGGTGGAGGGGGTAGGAACAGGGACAATGATTGGGTTTCCGTTTTAGCCTGGTGACTGCTGGTTCAGTGAATTGTTCCTTTGGACAATCCAGCAAAAGCCAGAAAACTTGCATTTTTCTTTCACGAATGGAGGAACCTCCATTTGGAGCTTGCCACTCAAAACTTTTCAGAACCTGGGCTCTTGGAGTTATGTATCTGACAGCCTGTAGTGTGGACAGTCCGTCTGACCTCTTGAAGCTGGAGAGGCTTCTGTGAGCCTCTGAGTGACCCTGAGGGTGTCCCTCAGCCTAGAAGTACCTGGCTCTCACGGAGGGGCCTCTCTCCCACTTTGCTAGGCCTGGAGGGGTTTATGGACTGGCGGGAATGATGACTGAGGTTGTTGGGGCAGCAGTTGTGTGGATGTCCACTGACAGTACTTTTGTTTTTTGTTTTCTCCTTACTCCTTTTCTGGGCTTACTCTCACTTTTGTCTCTCTCTCCCACCTATGCCTCCCTTCTCTGCCCCCACCCCTTCTTGCCTTGCCCTCTCTGCCCTCCCACTACTTCTCTTGGCTCCGCTTTGCTCTGTCTGTTGTTTCAGCTGGAGGTCCTACACTACCGACTCAGTGTCTCCAGCGCCCTCCACAGTCCTGCCCAACCTGGCTTCCAGGCCCTCCACACCTACCAAGTACCAGCCGTTTGTTGTTGTTTTTTTTTGTTGTTCTGTTTAATCCCACCCTGTGGTGCTGCCTTCAGAATGTCTGTCAGTACAGTAATAGCAGAGGCCAGGGAGCAGGTCTGAGGTGACTAGTCCTCCCCAGAATGAGGTCTGGAGGGGGCAGGAAGGCAGGGCAGCCTTCAGCTTAGCACTGTAGGTGGGAGCACTGTCCAAGGCCCTGATGGAGGTGGGGCGCTAGATCCTCTGCTGATGGCGTCCCCGGGCTGCTGGCCAGTGCTGGTCTCTGCCCATTCCAAAGCGTCCTCCAGCTTGACTCCAGGCCTCCGTGTGAAGCTAAGAGCCTCTACTGGTCTCTGCCAGTCACTTGTGGGGCCCTAGAGGTAGATAAGTGCAGATCGTGGCCAGGACGCCTGGGCAGAAATCAGGCAGGATTTTGGGGTCCAAGGGTAATGGAGCCTTTCAGCCCAGCTCCCTGGCCAGCTCTATCCCTGTAGAATACATAGTTGTTGCGTGGAAATTTAGTAAAAGATGAAAAAACCGGTCTTGGTAGTTAAATGTTGGGGTGAATTGGCGAAGGCAGCCTGTAGTGGGTATTCACCATTGGAACAGCCTTGTTGGGAGAGGGTTTCCTGGGGCCAGTGGGACTGCCAGGAAGGAAGGATGTGTGTGGTATGGAGAACTGAGTCATGGGGGCTGCTTCTGGCCAGGTGGGGATAGTTATGGGCTTGTCTTCATCCTGGCTTGGGCCCAGGTGGGTGGCACTGAGACCCCCTAGGAGCAGGGCTTAGTGAGGTGGGGGCTAGGAAACCAACACAGCTTTGGCCAGAGATTCCCAGTGGTGGAGAGGGAGGTTGGGCTCTGAAGGATGGAGTTTGAGTATAGGGTGTTTGACATGACAGACTAAGTGGGAAACAAACTGGTAGGGGGTGTCCTAGGATATCATCAGAGTTTGGGCAGCGCCCTCCAGACCCCAGGAAGTGGGTCAGGGTGGCAGGAGTGGAGGCCTCCCAGTCCCTGCAGTAGGAGTCCAGGAGAGATTGTCCCACAGAGTACATTCTGTTTCATTGTTATGAAAACATCCTATAGTATTTTTCTTCAAAAACACTACAAACCATTGCACAAAGATTGTAAAAGGTAAATACGTAACTTCTATCCACTGTCCCATGCCTGGCAGAGGTCCTTTAGGTTCACAGAAGCATTTTCATGGTGGGGAACAGCAGGGCTGAGGCACCTAGTAGGACCTCAGGGTGCGTGCTGAATGAGGTAGACCAGGCCTCCTCTGAAGGTGGGCCAATGTGTTGGGAGGAGCCAGGGGCTGACACTCGGTGGGGTCTTACTTGCCCCCCTGCCCCTTTCTGCTTTCATCAAGAACTAGAGAAAGCCACAGTGATAAGTGACTTTCCGTCTCTAAGGGCTTGCATTGATTGTGACTCAGAAGTAGAAACCTAGTCTCATGGGTTTTAGAGGAAGGAAGTGTGCTGCTCTCCCTGACTCACAGAAGATGAGCCATTGGGAGGACTTGGACTTTAATAGGAGGAATGGGATGTTTACCTGGGAATGGAGAAACCAGTGCCCTGGAGAGCTGTCTGCAGGACCCAGAGCTCCGGCAGGAGTCTTGCCTGCCCCATTCCTGTGGTCATCAGGCTCTGGCTGTCCAAAACATGGGGACCCCTGAGGACATGCAACCAGGTGTCTGACTGATGTTACCCACAGTTGGTACACAACCATGCGTTATGAGAGTGAGCTATCTGATGAGGTGGCTTTATTGAGCCTTCCTCTAGGACTCTCTGTGCTGGCACCAGGTCATCATTACTACCCTCGGGTCTGTCATAGTTCAGACCCAGCAGGTCCAGGGTGCCGCAGGCAATAGAACCCTGTGCTCAGGGTGCAAGCTTTCCTCTGGCTGTCTTGGGCCGATATGTCTCTTCTCAACCCCAGGAGTCGTTCACGCCAACTGAGGAGCACGTGTTGGTGGTGCGGCTGCTGCTCAAACACCTGCACGCCTTCTCTAACAGCCTGAAGCCAGAGCAGGCCTCACCCTCGGCCCACTCACATGCCACCAGCCCTCTGGAGGAGTTCAAACGGTAGGTGCAGGCTCAGGGGGACAGGGTGAGAGCCCGGTCTGTTTTCTCCCTAGCAGCCTTGTTGCCCGCAGTGGGATGTAAAGGCAGCAGGTGGGGCATGGCTCTGTCTGCTTGCTCCCATAGGTGATACACACCTGCCCCAGAGATTACACCTAGCTGAGTCTCTTGCCCTTGAGACCTCCCTCCCACCCAAGCTTGAGTCTTGTCTTTAACAGAGAGAGCCAGGGGTTGGGTGAGAGGGTTGGGGGTGGGTATCAGCATTGGTGGGCTTTCAAAGCTTATCTGGAATAGTGAGCAGACTGTAAGTGCTCTGCACTTTTCCAGGCTGACTTAGCACCTGCTATGTGTGTCCTGGAACCTTTTCTAACTTCTCAGCCCCCACCTGGTAGGCAGGCCCTTGGCACATGGTGGTCCTTGGGCAAGCTGGCTGCTGTGCCACCCAGCCTCCTCCATCCCCAACAGGGTTGCCATCCCGCGCTTCGTCCAGCAGAAGCTCTACCTCTTCCTTCAGCACTGCTTTGGCCACTGGCCCCTGGATGCATCATTCAGAGCCGTGAGTATGGGCCCCTCGATGCATGGTCTAGGGGCCATAAGGTGGGACAAGAGAAAGACATGACTGCTTCTGCAGAGGCCTGGAGTGGGGCCCTGGGTGGGCCTTAGTATTGTGCCCGCCTGAATTTCCAGTCAGCCTCTGGTGTTCTCTCCCAGCTCGGCCATCTGAGCAATGTAGCTGCAGGCCTCAAGCTCCACTCTTGAATCGCACTAGGCGTTTGGGGCTGTACCACCGGGTGAACGTCACTGCTGCAGACTAGTTAGTGTGAGGTGAAGTACAGCAGGATGGGGACTGCCAAGCCTGTGGGGCCAAGGGGGTGGAGAGGAACGACAGAGAATGCTTGTGTGCTGTTCCACCCACTGGGAACCTCTTTATCTTTCTCCAGGTCCTAGAGATGTGGCTGAGTTATCTACAGCCATGGAGGTATGCCCCCGAGAAGCAGGCCCAGAACAGTGATGTCCAGCCCCGCTGTGTGTCAGATAAATGGTGAGCCGGAGTCCTTCAACCTAGCAACTCCACGTTTCCCTCATGGGGGCAAGAAAGCCACCATGGGGCTCTTCTCTGGGACCCCAGCGGCTGAGCACAGGGTGCCTGCAGTTGCACCGTACTCTGGATCCCCAGAAGTGTGAAGCCCAGGTCTAGATAAGGCCCTGGAAATGTGGGTGGTCCACTTCCCCCAACCTGTGCCACTCCTCTGCCCTTCAGTTTCCTCTCAGTTCAAATGCATGTTCAAGGTCTCTTCCATCCTGTAAGTCTTCCCTGCTGGCCTTCCATCTTATCTACCTGGCCACCCCCTGGCTTCCATCACTGCCCTATCCTTTGCTGGTCACCTGGTATCCACCCTCAGATAGCTGCCCTTCATCCCCTTCTCCCCCTACCACCTTCCTCTGTTCCACCACTCCATCTTGGCTTCCTGGGATGGCCACCGTCACATGAGGTCCCAAAACCTTGGTCCTCTCGGAAAGGAGCCTCATACTTGTGTCTGTGTCTTTTTATTTTTTTGTGGTAAAATACATACAAGTGTTTACCGTTTTAACAATTTTTACATGTAAAGTTCATCTTCTTGTGCCACTGTCTCTAAATTTTCTTTCGTACTTAATAGAAACTTAGTGCCCCTTAAGCAGTGCTCCCCTGGCCTCTGGTAACTGCTAGTAAGCTTTGATCTGTTAGGTTTTTTGCCTGTTCTAGAGATTTCTTGTAAGTTAGATCATACAGTATGTGTCTGACTTACTTTGCCCAACCAGGTGTTTCGTGGTACATCCATGCTATCGCGAGTGCCAGGATTTTAAGAGACCTTGTTCTTGTGGGAGAATCTATCATCTGAGGGCCTAAACCTCATTCTTCTCTTCTCATCAGACCACCCACAGGCCCCCTTAACTGTCATTCCCAAGAACTTTCTTTATCTGAAACCCTAGGAAGTGTGGGTATCTAGGGCCAGTACAGAAGGTGGGCCACGGTCCATCTCAGGCTGACACTGATCCATGTGTTGCTCCTCAGGGCGCCCTTTGTCCAGGAGAACCTGCTTCTTTACACAAAGCTGCTTGTTGGTTTCCTGAACCGTGCACTTCGCACGGACCTTGTCAGCCCCAAGAATGCACTCATGGTGTTCCGGGTGGCCAAAGTGTTTGCCCAGCCCAACCTGGTGGAAATGATCCAGAAAGGTGAGTGAACCCCTGGTGCTGGTGGGCCATGGTCCCAACATCCCTTGGATCAGGCATGCAGCTGACAGGATGGATGCAGGACCTCAAGAGGCATCCTCATCTACCCTTTCCTGAGCTTTTCAGACAGTCTTGGGAATGACAACTGAGGGGTCTGTGGTGGACTTGCTCAGCTGGTGCTTGGGTATGCCTGAGGAGTGTTTCTCAGTGAAATCTTGCCTCCCTGTTGAAACTAAGGCAGTAGCAGCATTTTCCCTCAGATCCTGCCATCTCTTTCAGGTGACCTACCTAGCAGATGTTCAGAGGGCACATGGTGCCCGTAGTTGCTCACAGCCTTGACAAGTGCTTGAACTTGATGCAGGCTCCCCCCTTCTCAGGAGAGCAGCTGTTCCTAGAGCCTGAACTTGTCCTCCCCCACCGCCAGCACCGCTCCTTCATGACACCCACCTTCAGTGGCAGCTTCTTGTCAGCCTGGCCTCCTGCTGTCACTGATGCCTCCTTCAAGGTGAAGAGCCACATCTACAGCCTGGAGGGCCAGGACTGCAAGTACACCCCTATGTTTGGGCCTGAAGTCCGCACGCTGGTGAGTGAGGTTCTGGGCTCTGAGCCTGGGAAAGCTGGTTGTTATGTGCTGTGGAGTCAGGTCTGACTCATAGCGACCCTGTACAGGGTTTTCGAGGCTGTAAATCTTTATGGGAGCAGAAAGCCTTATCTTTCTCCTGCAGAACAGCTGGTAGTTTTGAACTGCTGACCATGAGATTAGCAGCCCAATTTGTAACTACTACACTACCAGAGTTCCTTAGGGATGCTGGTAGTGCAGAGGACTGTGGAGGAAGAGAGGTCTGGGGCTAACAGGTGACTCCGCCCTTTCCCTTCTCTTTCCCCAATCTAGTATTTCTCTGTGTGTCTCTTTCTAAGTTTCTCACATGGACACTGAGCCTTTTGGGTCACTGCTCTGGGTGCATACACACCATCTAGGCTTCCCTGAAGCTTCCTGTCATCCGTCTTGCTTGAGCCCAAACTGCTCCTGAACCACCGATGTGCATGCGCTTCCCCCGGCAGGTCCTGCGCCTGGCTCAGCTCATCGCGCAGGCCAAACAGACTGCCAAGTCTTTCTCCGACCAGTCCACTGAGAGCACAGCTGGCCGCTCCCTTCTGTGCTGGCTAGGCTTCTGTCCCACGGACAGCAACTCTTACTTGACCAACGACCTTGATGAAGTGGGTCAGGACAGCATACGTAAGACAGATGAGTACCTGGAGAAAGCCCTGGAGTACCTGTGTCGGATTTTCCGAGTACGTGCTATGGGGCTCGCTGCCTTGGCTCAGAAAAGAGTGCCACTGTTCCCCTGTTTTTAGTACTGCCCCCTCCCCTTTACCTGACTGCCACAGTCCACCATGTACAAGTCCCAGGCCCTGGGATTATCCCGGTGGGGGGAATATCATGTCCGTGACCCTTTGTGCCATGGTCAGGGATCTGGTGGGATGACCAGTGTCACCTTTTTTCATCGGTGGTTCTCCTGACAGCTCAGCGAAGCCCAGCTGGCCCAGCTTACGCTTGCCTTGGGGACCACACAAGATGAGACCGGGAAAAAGCAACTTCCAGACTGCACCGTGGGAGAGAACGGGCTTGTGCTTACCCCTCTGGGCCGCTATCAGGTGTGAGGCCAGGCGCAGAGGCAGTGGCCTCAATGTGGAGGGAGGCCTGCTCTTTGTCACCTAGCACACATCTCACTTCTGGTCTCTAGATCATCAATGGCCTGCGGAGGTTTGAGATCCAGTACCAGGGTGATGCTGAGCTGCAGCCCATCCGGAGCTATGAGATTGCTGGCCTGGTCCGCTTGCTCTTCCGGCTGTCCTCTGCCATCAACTGCAGAGTGAGTGGGGTGGGTGGCGCATGTGCCCCTCCAGTCCCTGGATGTCTGTGGTTAGGCTCCCTCTTCACCCCCATCCGTACCTTTGTTTCTGCTCAGTTTGCAGGCCAGATGGCAGCCCTGTGTTCACGGGCCGACTTCCTCGGCAGCCTCTGCCGATACCACCTCACTGAGCCTGCATTGGCTGGCAGGCACCTGTTGAGTCCTGCAGGACGGATGCATACTGCCAGCCGGGCCCGCAGTCCCCGGCTCAGCCTCCGCTTCCTGGGCAGCTACCACACTCTGCTATTGCTCCTGCTGGCCTTTTTTGTGGCTTCTCTGTTCTGCATTGGGCCCCTGCCCTGTACCCTGATCCTCATCCTGGTCTACCTATTGTACGCCATGGCTATGGCGCTTCTCACTGATCGGGGGAAGCTGCACCAGGCTTGACTGCCAGCCTGCATCCAGCAGAAACCTTCAAAAGGGCATGATGGAGGGGTGAAGAGGTAGGAGCTTGGCCATAGTCATATTTAAACTTGTGAGGGAAAGCAGTAGAGGAGGCATCCAGAAGAGGCCATGAGCAAGAAGGGGATACCAGCCCGAGACCCACCATCAGATCACATCCTGCCTCTCGCTGGAGGAAGAGTCTGCTGCCAAGCCCAAGTGCAGACGCTGCTCTTCAAGCTCAGGTGCTATGTTGGGCAGTGGCTTCCACCCTTCTCCAGAGGGCCTGGTCCAGCCCTGTCTTGCACCTCTGCTGCCCTTAAAGGTCTTCAAAGGTGACACCTTGCACCTGGTGTCACCAGGACAAGACGTTAGCTTCTAGCTCCAGGGAAGAATCGAAGTTTCCAAAACAGATACCTGAATAAATCAGACTGTACCTCCACACCTGGTTAAATGAGGGTCACTCCTGTAAGTGGATCCATAGAACTCTATTTCTGAGGAGATGAGCACAGCTGTTTCCTAGGGAACCGGTAGCCTCTGGTTCCTCACATGTGCCTCTTCAAGGACACTCTTCAATGCCTCTAGGCTGCCTTGTCACAGGTGGGACCCTAGTCAGCAGCACCCAAGTTGATGGAATGTGATCTTGACCAATGTGTGCTCTACAACCAAAGATGGTCAAAAGTGTTGTTTGTCAACAAAATCAAGTATGTAAAGATGCAACTTTTTAATAAAACATGAATGACAGCTACATGTTCTTTTTAAGTCCCTGCAGAGTCTCATGCACATTCAGTTGTCCCACAGAGCCATCTCCATGTTACCTTAAACCAGACCTTTAATTTGTGTGGTAGGTTATGTGTGTGTCAACCTCTAGGTATCCCAGAATGTCTGAGGGGGCTTCAAAAATGCTCATGGAAGAAACGGGGACCCTGAGGCCGGAGTGGGACTGGCCTGGCACGTGCAGGCAGAGCGAGATGCAGCACTGAGCCGCCTTCCTCCGAGCTGCCCTCTTCTTATTGGCGTTTCCACAGTGGCCAAAAAGAAAGTCAAGGTGAAAGTCAAGGACTGTGGGGTGGGTTTCCGCGAGGGCACCTGTGGGGCCCAGACTAAGCACATCTGGTGCAGAGTGACCTACAACTGGAAGAAGGAGCTTGGAGTCAACTGCAAGTACAAGTTTGAGAGCTGGGGTGCCACCAAAGCCTCCTGAAGAAGGCACGATACAATGTCCAGTACCAGGAGACCATCATGATGAAACCTTGCACTCCCAAGGCCAAAGCCAAGAAAGGGAAGGGACAGGACTAGGGGTCAAGCCTGGATGCAAGGAGCCCACTGGCTTTACCCTCCCACAGGCTCAAGATAAAACCCAACTGTGCCTTTTTTTCTACTCATTAGCTTTATCAATCACACCTTGTCTCTTTCCCTGCACTCCCCTGCCCTGAATCCCCAGGCAACCAAAGTGGGGAGAGACAGGAGATTCTGGGAAACTTAAGCTTCCTCCCAAAGGTGTTTGATCTCTGCCCCTCCCACCACCCCATCCCACCCCTGATCCTTTGTTTTTCCTCACAGTGATGCCATTATTAAGAAACAAACTGGCCTTTCCCCTCCCTCCCCCCAAAAAAAATGTTCATGGAAAAATGGAATTTTTCCTTGAACTTTTTGAAGCCCACTTGTAAATGGTGGGCTATGTACTTTGATGTAAACTCCAAATAATGGCATTCTGGAGCTTGGGACCAGAAAGCAAACTCCACTTCGACCTGATATAGGGCTCAGACTCCAGAAGTTGACTGCAAAAATGGTCACTGGATGCCTATCACCCCTTCATCCTGTTGTCAGTATGTCTAGTCACATGGTCTTAGGGAGCTCTCCTTGCTCAGATGTATCCTTTCCCAGCAGCAGCAAATCCCAGGCAGATTGTCCATCTGAAATGCCTGCAGAGGAAAGGGATGGGTGTCTATTAGGATCTGTGGGCTCTAGGCCCAATGTGGGCCTGAAGGCTCTTCATGACAGATCAGAGTGTGCTTCAGTAGAAAAAGCAGACGGTCCTGAAATGGGTCATTTGATGGCTTTGTGTGTCCCAGATCTGGAATATTTGCAAGTCATATGTGCAGCTAGGAACTGAACTGCACACTCACCAGTCCCCAAGTGAGCATATCACAGAAATACTAGGAAACCTAGCCCTGGAGAACTGAGCACCCCACACCCAAGCATTCACTGCGTGCCAACATGAGTCAAATAAAAATCTTCAGCTTGGGCTGAGCCAGCCAGACAAGCAGCAAAGGCCCACTTCTACTACCCAGTAGCTTCTCAGGAGGGTGTTACTCTGTTTCCATGTATTTGACTTTCTTTCCTTGGACTTCCTATTGTTGATTTCTAATTTTATAGCATTGTGGTCGGAGAAGATGCTTGGTAATATTTTGATGTTTGTAAATTTATAGAGGCTTATTTTATGGCCTAACACATGGTCTATTCTGGAGAATGTTCCATGTGCACTGAAAAAGAATGTGTATTGTGCTGTTGGGTTGAATATACACAACTATGAGGTCCAATTGACCGATTGTGTAGGTTTTGTCCAGTTTTTTTCTGGTTGTTCTATCCATTTCTAAAAGTGGTATATTAAAATCACCCACTATTATTATCTGAGTTTGCTGTATATATTTTGGAGTTCTTTCATTGGGGACATAAATATTTATTGTGGTTATGTCATCTTATTCAATTGTCCCTTTAATCAAGAGATAATGTTAATCTTTATCTATTATGCTGGTTCTTGCCTTAAAGTTTACCAGAGATTACTATTGCCACTCCTGTTCGTTTTTTTTTTTTTTTTTTATTGCAATTAGCTTGGTATATATTTTTCCATCCTTTAACTTTTAATCTGTTTTTGCCTTTGTGTGTAAGGTTTGTCTCTTGCCGACTCAGCATATTTAAGGATCTTGTTTTCTTATCCATTCTCCCACTCTCTGTCTCTTAACTGGTGCATTTAATCCATTGACATTCAGTGTACTTATCAGTAGGTATGAAGTAATTGCTATTATTACGTTTGTTGGTTTTTTTGTGGTGTTGCTGGTTTCTTTGTTCTGCATGCCTTCCTGTGCTGAGTTCATGTTTCTTGTGTTCTTTCTTGTCAGTTCATAGTTTTAATGTTTCCATGTTCTTCTTGGATTTCTATTTTCTTTGTTATAAAGTATTCATTTTCTTTGAGGTTACCTTATATTTTATTAACTCCCCCCCCCCCATTTAAAGCAGTCTGTTTTATCATGTAATCTACCTGACCTCCTTACCACCTGGATCTCTGTTCCTATGTTTTTACCTTCTTTCACATTGTGATTGTTTTGATCATAGACTAACCTCCCAGATCCTCTTATAGCTTTGTTCTGTTCTGGACTCTTCCATTTGTTGATTTAGTTGCAGGTGGTGCTGCAGCATATGTCAATCTCGGGTTGTTGTCTGTTCTGGTTGGTTCTCAGTCCAAAGATGTTTTGAAGCGCGGGGTTGGCTTTGGCAAAATCCCTTAGCTTCTGTTTATCCTGGATTGTTTTATTATACCTTTGTATTTGATTGACAGCTTTGCTGGATAGTCAATTCTTGATTAACAGGTTTTTTTTCTTTTAGAGTTATATTTATGTCTCCCCATTGCCTTCTTGCTTGCATGGTTTCTGCTTAGAGATCAGAGCTTAATCTGATTTGCTTGCCTTTGTATGTAACACTTCTCTTTTCCATAACTGCTTTCAAGATTCTGATTTTGGAGAGCTTGATGATTATGTCTTGGTGATTTTCTTTAGGTTCTATCCTTCCTGGGTCTCATTGAAATTCTTGAATCCTTATCTTTTTGTTTTTCAGGATGTTAGGGAAATTTTATTCCAGCAGCAATTCAGTTATCTCCTCTGTGGACTTGTGTGAGTCTTCTGTTCCGGAATGCCAATAATTCTTGAGTTATTCTTCTTCATGTTGCCCAACATGAATTTTAGACTTTCTTCAGTTTTGGGTTTTTTTTTAAATCATTTTTTCTGCTTGCTCTTCTATCTTAGCAGTATTTGTCTTCCAGCTTGCTAGTTCAGACTTCCATCTCTTCATTTCTACTCCTTTGCCCTTTCAGTGTGCCCATTTCTGATATTTATTATTAATCATTTGGATCTCTTTTTGTAGGTTTTGAATTGTTTCCAATGCTGTATCTATCTTATTTGATTGTTCCTATAGCACTTTACTGACATCTTCCTTATTTTTCTCAAACCCTTTGTGGAGTGTTTGGATACATTTCAGTATCATTTTTCTGTCCTCAGGCATTTCCGAAGCCTACCGCCTTCCATTGTGAATGTCTAGGCCTGTCTCCTGCTCATTTGCCCCAGTCACTCTATCTTGTTTCTGGACCTGTGCCCATATGGTTATCTGTTTCTTGGGTATCTTCAATAGTTAGCTGTGACCTCAGTAATTAGATGAATGTATGTTGATGTTTTATTATGCTTTCTGATTGCCACCAGATAGATGTGATCAGGAGATGGGCTTGCCTTTTCACTCTTTTTATTACTCAACTCAGAGTAACTGTAGCAGGTGTTGGCTGCCTGTCTGGTGTATAGCCGCTGGTTTTGACTCTTGCCTGGATGGTGGGATTTTATAGGGTATGACTGTAGCTTGACTATATGACTGCTGTTGCTGTCTCAGGTAATGTAGGGAGAGAAAGAGTCCCCTAAAGGTAAAAAAGGGGCCAAAAAACAGAACAGCAACAGCAAAAAAACTAGCTTGGATACTGTGTAATCACAGGAAAGAGAGAAAAAAAAAAAAAAAATGTCCATAGCAAAATATCAGTATGACTTTAAAATCCCTCTGTCTGCTTCTTGCCTTCAAGGCCGCTTGAGAAATTTCAAGATGTTACTGTTGGTCCTTATGACATAACTCATGATTTAATTTTCAACCTGTTTCCCTTTTAATCTGTCTCTCTCCTGCTCTGTAACCCCCATTCAGGCCTTTTTGTTAGTGATTAACAAATCAGGGCTGGCTGTAGCCGTTTGGGGCAG